GAATTTCTAGATAGCATAAAAGGATACTTGAATAAAAGTTTTTCAATGAAAGACCTCGATGAAGCTGCTTATATATTGGGCATCAAGATCTATATAGATAGATCAAGACGCTTGATAGGACTTTCAGAAAGCACATACCTTGATAAAGTTTTGAAGAAGTTCAAAATGGATCAGTCAAAGAAAGGGTTCTTGCCCGTGTTACAAGGTGTGAAGTTGAGTCAGACTCAATGCCCGACCACTACAGAAGATAGAGAGAAAATGAAAGTCATTCCCTATGTCTCAGCCATAGGATCTATCATGTATGCTATGTTGTGTACTAGACCTGATGTGTGCCTTGTCATAAGTCTGGCAGGGAGGTACCAAAGTAATCCAGGAGTGGATCACTGGACATCGGTCAAGAACATCCTAAAGTACCTGAAAAGGACTAGGGATGTGTTTCTCGTTTATGGAGGTGACAAAGATCTTGTCGTAAGTGGTTACGCTGACGCTAGCTTTGACACTGATCCAGATGACTCTAAGTCACAAACCGGATACATATTTTTATTGAATGGTGGAGTTGTCAGTTGGTGTAGTTCCAAGCAGAGCGTCATGGCGGGCTCTACATGTGAAGCGGAGTACATAGCTGCTTCGGAAGCAACAAATGAAGGAGTCTGGATGAAGGAGTTCATATCCGATCTAGGTGTAATGCCTAGTGCATCGGGTCCAATGAAAATCTTTTGTGACAATACTGGAGCAATTGCCTTGGTGAAGGAATACATATTTCACAAAAAGACCAAACACATCAAGAGACGCTTCAACTCCATCCAAGATTTGGTCAAGGAGGGAGACATAGAGATTTGCAAAATACATACGAATCTGAATGTGGCAGACTCGTTGACTAAGCCTCTTCCACGAGCAAAACATGATCAGCACCAAGACTCCATGGGTGTTAGATTCATTACAATGTAATCTAGATTATTGACTTTAGTGCAAGTGGGAGACTGAGGAAATATGCCCTAGAGGCAATAATAAAGTTGTTATTTTATATTTCCTTATTCATGATAAATGTTTATTATTCATGCTAGAATTGTATTAACCGGAAACTTGATACATGTGTGAATACATAGACAAAACACCGTGTCCCTAGTATGCCTCTACTAGAGTAGCTCGTTGATCAAAGATGGTTATGTTTCCTAGCCATGGACATGCGTTGTCATTTGATGAACGGGATCACATCATTAGGAGAATGATGTGATGGACAAGACCCATCCGTTAGCTTAGCATAATGATCGTTCAGTTTTATTGCTACTGATTTCTTCATGTCAAATACATATTCCTCCGACTATGAGATTATGCAACTCCAAAACACTGGAGGAATCCCTTTTGTGCTATCAAACATCACAATGAAACTGGGTGATTATAAAGATGCCCTACAGGTATCTCCGAAGGTGTTTGTTGGGTTGGCATAGATCGAGAATAGGATTTGTCACTCCGAGTATCGGAGAGGTATCTCTGGGCCCTCTCGGTAATGCACATCATAAGAAGACTTGCAAGCAATGTGACTAATGAGTTAGTTGCAAGATTATGCATTACGGAACGAGTAAAGAGACTTGCCAGTAACGAGATTGAACTAGGTATGAAGATACCGACAATCGAATCTCGGGCAAGTAACATACCGATGACAAAGGGAATAACGTATGTTGACATTGCGGTTCGAGCGATAAAGATCTTCATAGAATATGTGTGAACCAATATGAGCATCCAGGTTCCGCTATTGGTTATTGACCGAAGAGTTGTCTCAGTCATGTCTACATAGTTCTCGAACTCGTAGGGTCCGCACGCTTAACATTCGATGACGATATGTCTTATATGAGTTGTGTGTTTTGGTGACCGAAGGTTGTTCGGAGTCCCAGATGAGATCACGGACATGACGAGGAGTCTCGAAATGGTCAATAGGTAAAGATTGATATATTGGAAGGTAGTATTCGGACACCGGAAGAGTTCTGGAACGTATCAGGTACATATCGGAGTACCGGAGGGGTTACTGGAACCCCTCGGGGAAAGATATGGGCCATAGGAGGGAGGCACACGAGCCCACATAGGGGTGCCGTGCTCCCCATAGGGAAGGAGGCCGAATTGGACTAGGGAAGGGGCGGTGCCCCCTTACTCCCTCTCCTCCCCCTTCCCCCTCCGTAAAAGGAAGGGGGGAATCCTACTAGGAGCCCAAGTGGGACTCCTCCCACTTGGGGCGCGCCTAGGGCCGGCCTCCTCTCCCTCCCTCCTTTATATACGGGGGGCGCCCCTAGAAGACACACCAATTGCTCTAAGCCGTGTGCGGCGCCCCCTCCATAGTTTATGCCTCCGGTCATATTCTCGCGATGCTTAGGCTAAGCCCTGCGCAGATCACATCACCATCACCGTCACCACACCGTCGTGCTGACGGAACTCATCTATTCCTTCGACCCTCTGCTAGATCAAGAGCTCGAGGGACGTCATCGCGCTGAACGTGTGCAGAACTCGGAGGTGCCGCACGTTCGTTACTCGATCAGTCGGAACGAGAAGACGTTCGAATACATCAACCGCGTTAAGCAAACGCTTCCGCTTTCGTTCTACGAGGGTACGTGGACACAATCTCCCCCTCTCGTTGCTATGCATCTCCTACATAGGTCTTGCGTGAGCGTAGGAATTTTTTTTAAAATTGCATGCTACGTTTCCCAACAATTTGGTAACCGTAAAGGTTTCGGAAAGAACCGGGTATTTATCGGAGTGCCGGAAGGGGTTCTGGGAGGCCACCGGTGAGTAGTGGGCCTTATGGGCCAAGTGGGGGGGAAGAGCACACCATCCCACAAGGGGGCTGGCGCGCCCCTCCACCCCCTGCCCACTTACCAAGGAGGGAGGGGAGGATGGGGGAGGCGCCCTAAGACAGCCAACCCCCCTTCCTTCCCACCATGTTCAAATATGGAAGGGCGCGCGGCTAGGCAGGCCTCTAGGGCAGCCTTCGGCCACTTGGGGCGCCCTAGGGGATGCATCCTCTCCCCCCTCCACCTATATATATATATATATATGTGTGTGTGTGTGTGTGTGTGTGTGTGTGTGTGTGTGTGTGTGTGTGTGTGTGTAGGGAGAGGGGCAACACACACCATGATCCCCAAGCCGTGTGCGGCGCCCCTCTCTCTCTCTAGTTTATCCTCGGTCATATTTTCGCAGTGCTCAGCAAAGCCCTGCGGAGATAGTTGCATCACCACCGTCAACACGCCGTCATGTTGCCGAAACTTATCTACCACTTCGCCTATCTTGCTGGATCGAGAAGGTGATGACGTCATCGAGCTGAATGTGTGATGAACGCGGAGGTGCCGTACGTTCGGTACTTGATCGGTGGATCGTGAAGGTGTACGACTACATCAACCGCGTTGATAAAACGCTTCCGCTTAATGATCTACGAGGGTACGTAGGCACACTCTCCCCTCTCGTAGCTATGCAACTCCATGGATAGATCTTGCGTGTGCGTAGAATTTTTTTTGTTTTCCGTGCAATGTTTCCCAACACTTTTCATCAAAGAGTTGAACAATGAAGACTGTCAACGGGCTCCTCCTTTTCTTTTTTGCGAAAATGATACAGATCTATTATCAACTTTCACCGGAAGTACAAAACATCTCAAGCATAATAAAGATTACATTAAAATTCTGTGACCACTACCGCCGTCTGAACGAGCCGCCGACGTGCCGCTGTCGCTGCTTCCCTACCGAAGACGGCTTGGCCTTGTCGATGACAACCGGGAAGTCTTCGTGCACGTACCCCTAAGGACCAGTGCCTGGAGGCTCGTAGTCGTCCTCGTTGAACCCTTGAATAGATCGGAAGCACGCGACACCAAATGTCGTGACATGATGAGAAACCATAACCTCACCACACCAAGGAGACAACAAAAATCTATGTTGAAGCTCGACTACGTATAGATGGATGAACTCGAGAAGGATCGAAGGCCGGAAGACAAACTTGAAGAAAAAGCGTTGCCATTCACCCGAGTGCCGCACCTGTGAGGACTAAAAACCTAATCTAAACTACCAACCGGACCAAAAGCACCGAGATTCCCCTCCCCGCCACCGGATCGGCATGCAAAGAGGGGGGGTGGGGGGGTGAATCAAACTTGGAGAGGAGGGAGGGAAGGGGGGGAGAAACCCTAAGATTGGTTCTCATCTTCTGTCCACAACGTCAGCGGGCTCCTCCAACCCAAGATGCTTCTAACCGGTGGTCGTCTTTGGTCAAGGGAACGAGCGAGCACACACGGTGCACCCTCAAGAGCACATGGCACGCTCTTCAATTTTTTTATTTGACACAGTCAAGTGAGCATCATGCTCGATCGCTACTCTACAGGGAGCGCGGATCATCCATTCCTAGGTTGGATAGGGCCAAAAACACAGAGGAAAAAATTAGGACCGACCAATACAATACTCCTGCGCCAGAAGAATAACGCAAACACTCGGCTCCCGGCCCTGCCCCTGGTCGCCTTCCAGGAATCTTCTAGGGTAGCCAGCCCCCTCTCCTGTGGGAACCGGGAACGCCACCGCAACACCAGCTTTCTCTCTCACACACACACTAACCGCTACCCAGAACAAGCAGAAAAGATAAAAACAAGCGCTTAATTACCACGCCCCTTCACCTACCCAGGGTACCCCATCCGCCGTCTCATCTCATCCCCACGCCGATCGAAGCGAAACGCAGCGAGCGAGCGCGAGATCCAGCCAGCTGCGCGAGGGTCGGGTCAATGCTGGCTCCCATGAATTCCTTCCCGTCTCGTCATCTCCTCTCCTGTCGTCCTGGCTGGTCAAAATCCTTCGCGTACACACCCACGCGTATTACCATGTATACATAGCCTCGCCCCCGTACGCGACTGCGATAGATCCCCCCAGCCCTCCCCGCCCGCCCTCCGCCCCGCCGCCTCTCCCTATCTACGCCAGCAGCCCAGCGGAAACGCACACTGGAAAGCCGAGGGATCCACGAGCCGGGCCGCGCTGCGAGGAGCCATGGAGTTCACTGCTGCGTCGAGCAGCAGCAGGCTCTCTAAAGAGGGGGAGGAGGAGGAGGAGATGGAGGAGGAGGAGGAGGAGGGGGATGAGGCCTCCCCGCGTGAGATCCCCTTCATGACGGCCATGACGGCGGCCGCCTCGTCCTCCTCCCCGACATCCGCGGCGTCTCCTTCATCGGCCGCGGCCTCCGCGTGTGCGTCGGGGTCGGGCTCTCCCTTCCGCTCGAGCGACGGCGCTGGGGCTTCTGGGAGCGGGGCTGGCGGCGGCGCGGGAGGGGGCGACGTGGAGGTGATCGACAAGGAGCACATGTTCGACAAGGTGGTCACGCCGAGCGACGTGGGGAAGCTCAACCGGCTGGTGATCCCCAAGCAACACGCCGAGAAGTACTTCCCTCTGGACGCGGCGGCCAACGAGAAGGGCCTGCTGCTCAGCTTCGAGGACCGCGGGGGCAAGCTCTGGCGCTTCCGCTACTCCTACTGGAACAGCAGCCAGAGCTACGTCATGACCAAGGGCTGGAGCCGATTCGTCAAGGAGAAGCGCCTCGACGCCGGGGACACCGTCTCCTTCTGCCGCGGCGCCGCCGAGGCCACGCGCGACCGCCTCTTCATCGACTGGAAGCGCCGCGCCGAACTCCGCGACCCGCACCGTCTCGCGCGCCTGCCCATGCCCATGCCCACCTCCTCGCCCTACGGCCCGTGGGGCGCCGGACCGGGCGGTTTCTTCATGCCGCCCGCGCCTCCAGCCACTCTCTACGAGCACCACCGCCTCCGCCAGAGCTTCGACTTCCGGAGCATCAGTCCCGCCGCGCCGCAGAGGCCGCAGGTACTCTACTTCGGCTCCGCAGGAATTTTCCCGCACGCAACCATGCCGCCTCCGCAGCCGCAACCTCCGCTGCACATTGCGGTGCAACCGAGCCCGGCGGTCACCGTCGGCATGCCCATGGTTCTCGATTCGACGCCACTCGTCAACAGCCCGACGGCGGCCGCGAAGCGCGTGCGGCTGTTCGGAGTCAACCTCGACAATCCGCATACCCACGGCGGCGAGTCAAGCAACGATGCCAACGCATTGTCGCTGCGGATGCCCGGATGGCAAAGGCCGACACCGTTTAGGTCGCTGGAATTGCCCCAGCACGGTGCAGCCGGAGCGGAGTCGTCTGCTGCCTCGTCGCCGTCTTCATCATCATCCTCCAAGAGAGAAGCGCATTCCTCCTTGGATCTCGATCTGTGAACGATATTTGGTGAGCTCTATCGGGAGCGTGCCCAAGGAAAGTTCAACAATTCCTTCTTCAGTTTGTCACCTTCCTTTTCTTCCTCTCCACCTTTTGCGGTTCCGTTATAACATTGATAGAAGCCAGCATTTAACATTTCATTTTCGTTTTCGTTTTGGCCAATCAAATTCTTGAGTGTTGGTTTGAGAATTAATATATAGAGAGAAACTAGCGAATCAATCAATTCTTCATGAGTTCGTCTGGTTTCTAATAAGATTCCTTCATTTTCGGTCTTCCCCGCTATCCCAGTATTAGCTTGTGATTTCTAAGTCAAATTATTTTCCTTTACTAATTGGTTGGTCCGCAGTTTGGTTGACCAATTCCATTTGCACCCACATATGATAACACACCTCCAAATTTGCAAACCCCCAACAGCATTAATACGGCCAAGATCTGAATCGTATGACTACAAGCGCAGTCTGATACACATCATCCCGAACTTGCATCATATGAATGATCTTCTCCTCTAGACTGAACCTTCAACGCAGCTCTCAGAAACAATAGCGAGGCAGTGACATTGATGGCGGATTAGCCGATGCAAGCAGCTGCCACCGGAGAAGCTACATACGAGCATTGCAGGTCAAATCCTTCACTTCTGATCTGAGCGATCCTTAAATTCCTGTAGTTTACTCCTCTTCATTAGTACTGCTAGTCTGCTATGCCGTATCTTATATTTATGTGCTTGGCCTTCTTGCTTTTAATTCGTGAGTTTGCTGATACTTTTTGTACCGTTTCATACTCCATATGCATAATTAGCTGATCGTAATGGCAAAGATCATAGGGACTGGTACCAGCAAATTTAAGGAATTTCTGTCGCGGTTTTTACCCAACGGGGACTGGAAACTAAACCCCCATATATACATACTGTAGGCCAAATTATACGTCTAGTTTTGTTTGTCTGGGCCTGGAGTGGTATACGCTCCAAGCCTCCAAGAGTTCTTTATGTTCTTGGCAGTCTGTAAAGAAGGGGTGCAGTGCACTGGGCACTTGCCACTGGCCTTAACTTCCTTGTACGTCTGTTAAAATTTTATGGGGGAGGGAGGAGGGACCTCAGCAGTAGCTCGACTGTTGCTATAACAGTAGGAACAGTGAGGTGTGCGTATATGCACATCTCTTGGGGTAGTACGTCTTGCTCGGAATTGCTCTCCCTTGTTGTCCTTTCTGTGTGAGGCAGTGAGAAAGACAAAGGCCTCTCTCTATATTTAACTTTCTTCCCTCTTCTCCTTTTCACTGCAGTGAGTAGGTACGGGGTGTACGCCTGCTGCTGGTAGCAATGGGGGCAAGGCCACGTACTGACTCCTCAATAGGTATCCATAACTAGCAAGGTGTAGGAGGGGGATCCTTTTGCACTGGCATGGCCGGAATAGATATATAGATGCTGTGCCTGAAAATGAAAGTACCTTTGGTCCAGTGTAAGCTCAAAAAGGAATGGGAGTTAATGAGGAAATAAATAATGGGCAGGAGGTCGACTGGGATTGTCTATATATCACTATAAGTGTTCGCTGTTTTCTTCTTGTTCTTCCTCTTTTTTGCTTGCTTGGTGTTCACTTTGGTTTTAATTTTGTCATCTGACGTACTGCACTCACTCGATACAGTTTCTTTGAGATTAACTGATTGATAGTTCATACTTCTAACTTGCCTCGGGCTCAAGGAGGTTAGCGCATGTCTTCTGTGGCGTCCCTCTTACAAAAAACATACAAGTATCTAGCCCAGTCTACAAATCAGTAGTTGATGTCTCTCGTATATCCTGGTATCTTCTGAAACAGCAGAAATATATGTATTAATTTTGGAGAAAAGCTTTAGCTAAGGAATACAAGTTACAAAAAAAATGTTGTTGCAGAAAAGATCAGTAGCACCTCCTTGTCATTGTCAATACCTGTTGATATTGTGTGCTGTATTATGATTACGTACACCGCAAACATCTGCAAATACTCCCTCCGTCCCATAGTATATAAGATGTTACTACAACTGATATACTCTCATCTTGGTTGTAATAACATCTTATATTATGGGACGGAGGCAGTATTACTTTTGGGTTAAACACTGTATATTTCACTTCAATTATGATACATTCTTCCATTTATTTGTTTACACATTTAATCTTTCTTGTTTTTTAAGATTGCAATATCTTTAGTATAACACTGCCATGGTTCCTTGGTAGTACCAAATACAAGAAATTTGACACAGATTTTCATTACGAATCTCATATGTATTCTCTCACTGCATAAACATGGATAATTTAGTCTAGCAAAAACATTAAGGGGATTCAAAAATCTTCAATTTCTTATAGAACAATTTCAATCATTTTCACATTATGCAACAAATTTTCTCATAATTAAGTACTATGGGTTGTGGCTGTTTTTATACCCTGCACGTCGTCTTTTTTTAGCAGATAGTATGATGATTGTTCATCCGACATCCTTCCAGTCCAAATGTCATTGTGCATTTTTTCATTTTTTTGACATTTCTGTTCTTACAGTAAAACTGTACAAGCATCTATGAAGCATATGCATGTAAGGTTGCTAAACCAACTAGTAGAATAGGAAATTTGTTAACTGAAATATAGTATTTATTACACACAACAGGAAATGCTTATCAGGATCTTACGGAGTTGTAATGGCACAATCCAAAATACTAAGTCATATTAGATCCAGTATCTAGATGTACTTCAGCTTCGATTGCTATGGATATATTGTTTTAAACATCAAAGGTTATGTAGAAGTTGGTTATTTGAACTACCTTCGTTGGTGTTTATTTGTTAGTCTTTTGTGTATCAATTAGTTACATATGTGAGCCTTATTTAGTAGCTGCCTGACATGTAATTTTTGTAATTGTCTACCATGTCTCAAATATATAATATGATAAAGTACATATACGGGCTGTGTTGTCTACTCTCCCTCCGTTCCATAATACTTGTCATGGTCTTAGTTCAAATTTGAACTGAAACCACAAGTATTTTGGAACGGAGGGAGTAACTTTTAAGCAAGCGACGTTAAATTCTCTCTCTTTTTGCATGCACTTGTATATTTAGCAAATCTAGCAGAAGCTATAGGAAAAATATTTACACCCCACTAGCAAAATTTGAGCTGAATGCGATTTAGTTAAATCTCTATGTGATTTTTTGTGTTGAAAGATAGTATATGCTAAGCAGGTTATTTAAGTTTTAACTACTTAGCCACAAAATATTGATATCAACGTGCAATAGTTTTTTGTTTGAAAATATGCATCGATTTTACCACACAAATTAAATCTAGACAAATAAAATTGTGTTAATCGTCAAACTTAATTAGAAACAGTTGACTGCACCTAGCAATGCATAGTAATAGCTAGCTAGATATGGTTCATCATGTTTGGTTATATTTGCGTCCTACTGTTATGCATATGCTCAAAGTAATTAGATTACAGTTAGCACTAAATAGAGCTAAAATGATGGTCACCGGAGTATGCCCTTGTAATGAATAAAATGGACCAGTACAAGTATGAGGCTGTGTGGGGAATTTACGAATCAACTTGTGTTTTGCTTTGAAGGAAAAATGTTCTTGTTGGCAGAAGGTTCATATGCATGATAGATATACTAGGATTGGACGCCATGTTTTTGTTTTATATAATATTTAATTGAATTTTATGTATGTATTTACTTCACAAAAGTACTGAATCGGTTGGAATATACTAGCTGACAACACTGCATCATATGTGTTATCCTGAAGTTACTCTTGCAAATATTGAGGGGATGCATGGACTTATGTGTGCCGTGTTCATTTTCTGACGCCCATGTGCCATGTGGATATGTATATGCATGCACGCATCGGATCAATTTATGATATTGTTTCCATGAAACATGCAAGGCATTACTTAGAAAGTTCCACATTTAAGTCTCCTGCTCTTCTTTGGCGTTTGGCTGTCATTTTAAGGCATAAAACTGTGATGCGTGATGGCCGCAATCATAAGAGTACTGGTATACTACTCCCAGTAAAGTACACACATATAATATCGAGTTGCATTTGTCAGCATAAGTAGACATGAGAGAGAAAGAGATGTTCTATGCGTGTGTGGAGAAAAAAAGATAAGGAGACTTGTATTAATTTCTTCTGTGGAATCTGGTGCAGTGTAGTATTACAGAGCAGTTATTTTCTACTATGCACAGGTTTTAATATCATTTAGTATCTCTGACCTGATTTCTGACCCCTTTTAACTATGCGTGCCAGGTCCTGCATGCATGGCTTTGGTTGAAATTGTCTCTTGTGCCGTCAGTGGATTTTGTTCGTACAATGGTGGTCTCCACGCCCCTAGCAGCTAAGTTCATATTCGTATTTATGTCGTTTCACATACGAGCTGAGGCGCGTCTATGAATCTCTCCAGCTAGTGATGAATCTCACAGAGATATAAAATCCTGAAGAATTAGATACCAATATAACAAGAAATTTCAGAGGGCTTCTCCGGAGAGAACTGAACTTACGGTGTGAAACCCTAACGAGCATGTGTTAGAAACATCACGACCGGCCGGACTGGACATAGATTGCTGCCGGTTTGCCGATGGAACACCGTTTGCCGAGAGGAAGGTCGAGACAGCGAGAGGTGGGGGAGATGATTTTGTGCGGTAAGTTTTTTGGATGCACCCATAGGCTGATCTCTAGAGCCAATTAAGCCCCATGCCAGAGCAGCAGCATCCTTGTGGACGGCAGCACATATGCATCATGCAATGCGCTGCCGCCACCGAGAGCACTGGGTAAACCCAACGCTTATGACGCCATCATCAATAGAAACAGCCAGTGTACGTGGTACTCTAGCCAACGTCTTGCCTGAGTATAAGCGAGGACATCCAGCATCTAATTAACACATAGTATCTGCTTCTGACCTACATGTACGTATATCCAATATCTACAATATTGCTTTTGCTCGTGGCATCCTACAGTAAATTTTAACGTGACATGAGAGCATGCAATGAATTGATGTGTATATT